AATTGAAAATCAAGGCACGAGCATGGTCACATTGTGGTGAGGGCTCTCTTCCTGATTCATAGCCAGAACCTTCTTGTTATGTTCTCACATGGTGAAGGGGCAAGGCATCTCTGGAGCCTCTTTTGTAAGGGCATTAATCCTACTGGGACGTACTTACTTCCCAAAGTCTCCAGTTTCTAATACCATCACCTTTGGGGGCTAAGATCAACATATGAGTTTTGTTTATTTTTTATTATTTTTTTATTTTTTTAACATATGAGTTTTGGAAAGATACATTCAGACTATAGCAATCTTCTCAATAAATGCAAAAAAAAAAAAAGAATCCACCATCTATTCCTGATAAAAACTCCCAGAAAACTAGAAATAGAAGGGAACTTCCTCAACTTCATAAAGAACACCTACAAAAAAAACCTACCACTAACATTCCTTAGTGGTAAAAGACTGTGTGCTTTCCCCTCAATATCAATACCTCAAAAGACTGTGTGCAACAAGACAGGGGTGTCCACTCTTACACTTTCTGTCCAACATTGTATTGGAGGTCCAAGCCTGGGAAATTAGACAAGGAAAAGAAATAAACAGCATCCAGATCGGAAAGAAAGAAGTAAATTGTCCTTATTCATAGATAACGGGATTACCTAGGTAGAAAATGTGATGGAATTGTCAGAAGGGTTACTAGAATTAATATGTGACTTTAACAGGTTGCAGGATATAAGATCAATATATATAAAATCAATTGTATTTCTATATACTAGCAATGAACAATCAGAAATTTTAAAATTTCAAAACAATGCCACTCATAATAGCATCAAAATATGCAATATTTAGGAATAAGTCTGACAAAAGACATAAAAACCTGAACACTGAAAACTACAAAATATTGCTGAGAGAAATTAAAGACCAAAGTGAGAGAAAGAGACCTTGTTCAGGGGTTAAAAGACTCAATATTGTTATGATATCAATTCTCCCCAAACTATTCTACAGAATTTAATCCAATCCCAATCCAAATCTCAGCAGACTTTTTTTTCTGGTCACTAAGATGATTCTAAAATGTGTATAGGAATGCAAAAAACCTGGACTATTAAAACAACACAGAAGAAAATAAAGTTGTAGAACTTAAACTATCTGCTTTCAAAGACTGTTAGAAAGCTACACAAATTAAAACTGTAAAGATAGAAAATACAACAGCAGAACAGCAAAGAGTGTCTTGAATCTACACATTTACTGATATTTGACACAGGCACGCACACACACACACACACACACAAAAAAACCAGTAAGGAAAGATAATCTTTTCAACAAATGATGCTGGAAGAGAGGAATATCCACAGGCACAAAAATGAACCTGGACTCATATCTCACACTATATTAAAAAATCCACTCAAAATGGATCAGAAACCTTAATAAGTATAAAACCTAAAACCATAAAACTTCTAAAGGAAAACAAGATCTTTGTGACCTTGGGTTAAATTAAGATATCTTAGATGTGACACCCAAAGCACAATTCATAGAAGAGCAATTTGATAAATTTAAAATCATCAAAATTTAGAATTTCTGCTCTTGAAAAGACACTATGAAGAGAATGAATAGACAGACTGGGAGAAAATGCTTGCAAAGTATCTACCTGACAAAGGACTTGTATCTAGAATATGTAAAGAACTCTTATAACTCAATAAAAAGAAAAACAACCCAATTATAATAAAGAGGGCAAAAGGATTAAACAGATGTTTCACCAAAGAAAGGCATATGATGGCTAATGAGGACATAAAAATATGCTCAACATCATTAGTCAGGGAAATCTAGATTAAAAGCAGAATGAGATTACACTATACACTTGTTAGAATGGCTAAAATTAAAAAGACTGAACATACCAAGTACTGATGAGAATGTGGAACTGGAACTCTCCTACAATACTATTGGGAATATAAAAATGGTACAACCACTTTGGAAAACAAAGTGTGGTAATTTTTGAAAAATTTAAATGTACCTCTACTGTATTATCCAGCCGTACCACTCTTGGTATTTACCCAAGGAAAAATATGTACATATAAAGGATTATACACAAATGTTTACAGGAGCTTCATTTGTAGTTGCCCTAAACTGGAAACAACTCAAATGTCCCTCAACCAATGAATGAATAAACCCATTATTGTACATCCAAAAGAACATTGATTTTATGGTTCCATTTCTACAAAACTCTAGAAAATGCATACTCCCCTATAGTGACAGAGAACAGATCAGTAGTTTCTTGAAGATGAGAGGAGCCAGGGAGCAAGGACAGGAGAGAGGGAGTATAAGGGACACAAGGAAACTTTGAGTGTAATGGATGGATATGTTTATTGCTTTGATTGTGGTGATAGTTATATATATATATATAATATATATATATCAAACCTTATCAGATAGCACAGTTTAAATATATCCAGTTATCATATGTCAAATATACCTCAAAATGTTTTTTTAAAAAAATACACCTACAAGTAAATAAAAAAGACAAACAACCTTATAAAAGTGGGCAATCTATCTGAACAGATACTTTACAACAGAAAATATAGAAATGGCCACTAAGCACATGAAAACATCATACTCAACATGATTAGTCATCAGGGAGATGATAATTAAAATCACAATGAGTTGCCACTTCACACCCACTTAAATAGCTAAAAATAAAGGCTGACAACCACAAATGTTGAGGAAGATTGGAAAGAAAAGGAACTTTTGTGCATTTCTGTTGGGAACATAAATTGTACAACCACTTTACAGAATATTCTGGCAGTTTCTTATAAAACAACTATCCCATGACGTGGCAATTCCCTTTCTAGGTACTTATCCGAGTAAAATCAAAGCATATGTCTTCACAAACTTGTACACAAATGTTCTTAGCAGCCTTATTTATAATAGTCCAAAATGGAAACCGCCCAGATCATAAACTGGTGGTGAATGAATAAAGCAACTCGGATACATCCAGAGAATGGAATACTACTCAGTAATAAAAGGAAAGAAGCAATGACACATTCAACAACATATATAAATCTCAACATCATACTGAATGAAAGAACCCAGACACAAAATAGTACATTCTGTATTATTCCATGCATATGAAGCTCTCAAATAGGCAAAAGGTATTTATGGTGGAGCAAAATTAGAGCCACGGTTGCCTCTGTGTGGGATTGTGGCGGCAGCTGACTGGAAATGAGCACAGGGGAAATTTCTGGGGTATTGAGTGTTCTGTATTTTAACAGGAAACTGGAGCATGCATTTGTCTAAACCCCCTACATGGGGCAGTTAAGATCTGTGTGCTCCGTTGTGGCAAATTTTACCTCCAAAGAACAGCACACAGGTATTCATCTCTAGCTAATGCTACGCCTGCTGAAGTGTTTGGAGGCAAAGTCTACTGGTGTCTGCAGCTCACTTTGAAATGGATCAGTAAAATGAGGATGACCTTGCAATCAAGCAAGTAGAGCATCAAGCTAATTGTGGAATATTAGTGATTGGTCCTTAGGTACAGATCTTTGCATTGATCTGTATATTACAAAGTCTTCATAATAAAACCTGAAGGAAAATAAGAGTAAAGTCATTAACACATAATGGATAAAATTGTTTCAAGAATATTTAAGAAGTTAGTTATCATCATTGCTAGTAAAGCATTAAATGCTTATTAATAAAGAATGAAAAAAATGTCAAAACATTTCGCTCAGACTCAATTCTAGTGCCCAGCCTAGGCCCACCAGTATGGCTCTTTTTTTCCCCGTGGCTAACTACAATCCAGCATTTTCCTTTTGATTTCTTTTTAAGATTTCATTTATTTATTCATGAGAGGCACAGAGAGAGAGGCAGAGACACAGGCAGAGGGAGAAGCAGACTCCCTGCAGGGAGCCCCATGTGGGACTGGATCCCGGGACGCCAGGATCACGACCTAAGCCAAAGGCAGGCACTAAACCGCTCAGCCACCCAGGGTTCCCCTCCTTTTGATCCTAGAATATTCCCAATTTGTTCCTGACATGAAGTGTTTGCACTTGCTGTTCCTTTTGCCTGCAGATGCCCTTCCTGTCTTCAACAACCTTCAGTCCCACGGTTGAGTCCTTGTCATTCAAGTCTCACATCAATGGTAGCGTAGCCTCACTGAGTTCCCCTGCGTATCAATCCCAAACATCACCATCATTGAAGCTCTTCACAATTCTTATCACTCTTAGGTGTTGTGTTGTATGTTGATCCTTGTTTGTTACCGTCTTCGGCACAACTGCCTACATTTCTGATGCCTGGCAGCCAATTCTTCGGAATTGACAGCTTCGGAACTGGCTGTCACTACTTGCAACGCCCCCCCCCCCCCGCCCCGCATCGAAGAATCCTGTTGGGTTTTTTTCATAGTATGACCTATCTTGAAATTAAGTCAGATACTTCCCCCTCTACCCCCGTTCCCACACACGTGCACGCATACACACACACACACTCGCGGGAGCTCTTGGGCGCCAAATGCGCGTGCCTTGAGGGCAGGGATGCGGCCTGGTTTTGCTCACAGGCGTGTTCTTACCGCCTGGCCCAACAAGGGCTCACAACAGCCTTCGTGACTCAGTGAGGCGCTTTGACCCCTCCCGTGAGATCTGGCTTTGCTCGGCTTCGCTCGCCATTCCCACTCCTGACCCTCACCTCCAGAAGGCTCCCGAGGGGGCAGGGTTCTTTCCATTCCTTCCTTCCTTCCCTCACGGGCTAGTTGGTTCATCCACTCATTCACTCATTCGTTCGCTCGTTCGTGCGTTTGCTCATTCATTCACTCGTACATTCATTCCAGGCCTCCCCCCTCCACCCAGGCGTCTGGGCCGCACGCGCAGATCCCCCGCGGGCGCGCCTGGCCCTCCCCCCGGGCCTCGGCCCCGCCCCCGCCCCGCCCCGCCCCCTCTCCAGGCCAATTGGGACCGGCTGGCCGGGCGGGGCCGGGGCCGGGGCGGGGCCTTGCTCCCCCACTACCCGCGGCGGCGCCCGCGGCTCCGGAAACGCGCCGCGGGGCTGCTGGGCTCAGCCGGGCGCGGGCGGCTCCGTGGCGTTTCCTGCCACGCCGGGCCTGCCTGGGCCGCGCCAGCGCCGCTCCGCCGAGGGCCGCGCGTCTGCCGCCACGGGGCCCGGGTGAGCGCGGGGCCACGGGCCGGTGTGCCCAGGCTGCGGGAGGATGCGCAGGGGGCGGCCTGGGAGAGCGCGCGGGGCTGAGGCGAGGGTTCCGCAGAGTGTGCGGGGTGTGGAGGCCAAGCGTCTTTGGGGGGCGTCCCGGGGCCTGCGGGAAGCTGCTCGGCCCTGAGGCCATCCGAAGTGAAGGACGAGTCCCAGATGGCGGGTACGAGGAGGCCCGAAGGCCTTGTCGCGGCGGGCGGCGGGCGGGGGGCGGCGGTCAGGGGCGGGAATCGCGGATGTGCCGAGGCCTAGGCTGCTTTGGGGGGGATACTAGGAAGCAGGAACTGGTCATTATGGGAAGGAGGGGATCCTTGCCCCAAGGAGGCTGAGGGGGAGGGGGGCGGTGATTAGGTTAAAGGGCTTTCCCAGACTGCTGGGGGAGGGGCTGAGCCGCAGTCAGGGGTGCTGGGTGGACGAGCTGGGGACAGTTCCTGCTGATGGAGTTCCTCCTTTCCTTTTGGGTGGGGGTTGAGCCTCAGGTTGGTGGGGAGGAATGGGGGGATAGTCCAGAGCCCAAGAGCTGTGAGGGAGCGCTGGGGAGCTGCGCTTGCTGGGTGAAGATGAGCTCAAGGCTCTAGGTCTGAACAGGGCTTGTTCTGTCGCCCTTCTGGGGGCCACCATCTCCTGCTCCTGTGCCTCCCCCCTCAACTCCTTTGCTGCCTCCTCTAGTCTATATTTGGGTGATTAATTACATGTCTTTTTCCATCCTACCCCCACAAATACACACTTGCCTGCGCCCAGAGCCCATGGCCCCTTTCAAACAACCCCCCCCCCAAAATGCTGGCCCTCTTCCCAGAGGTCCCACCCTGTTCCAACTGACGCCCTCCAGCCAGCGTTGGCCTAGCCTGGCTGCCAGCCCCCTCCACTCTCCTTGGTCAGTGAAATATTTTCTCTTAAACCTCAGACCCGACATTTTTCCTTTACCAAAGGATTTCAGATGAGATTGCCAGAACAGCACCCCCTCTGGGTACTAATGCTGCCTCACCCCATTTCCCATCCTCCCCTCCCCTCCCCCATTGAGCCTTTAAGTAGAAGCAGCTTGCACACTGCCTGGCACAGTCCAGTCCATTCCCCACAAATGTCCCTGGATCTATGTTTAGAATCCTATGGAACAGTGATTTGCAGCCTTCTTTGCCGGAGAGACCCCTTGGAAAATCACTAGGAAGCAGTAATTCTCTTCCCAGAAGTCTGACAGCAGCACAAACACTGGGATCCCATACGGGAAGCTCACAGGCCTGAATCCTGTCTGCTGACTTCTGGTGGTGAGAAAGACTCCAGATTGTAGATAGGCCCAGTATTAACAAGGCACAGTACTACAGCCCAGGCCCCAAAGTGCTGCTTGCAAATGCAGATTCCTTGGCCCCACCCACACCTGCTCCTCTGCCCCTTGAGTTCTTACCCGGTTCCAGTGCACTTGATCCAGGCCTGGTCCTAACTTGCCTGGGCTCCCCAAATGAGCATCCCTCATACCCATGTAGACTCTCATACCCATGTAGACTCTCATACCCAGGGCAGTGTAACCTAAACGAACTCTTACTTCCCATTTATTTTGATTTTTAGAAAGATGCCATGCGTCTTCTTGGGAAAGGGGGAACATACACCTTTTCTCAGTTTAAGGACAACAAACACTACAAAATCCCCTTCTGGTCTACCTTCTGGCTTTTTATAGAAGGGAAGGAAAACGGGAACCTAAAAGAGAGAGGGACAGGTGCCCAGGCAAAGGGAGAGAGGAAAACTGGGGAAGATGGAGACAGATGCCTCCCACCCACGCACATGGAAAAAGACACACACAGACACAAGCATCCCAAGAGAAACAGACTTTCCTGGTGAAACACCCTCTCCTGGCCCTTTAGGATTCTGTCACTAATAGCTGCAGCGCATTTGCACACAGCACAGGTGGGCCCCGTATCGGGACCTCAGCGAGAGCCCAGGGGCTCAGGTCCGCATCCTGGCCTCGCCTGGCTGGAGTGGATCGGGATCCCAGCAGTGCGTGTTGTCTCAGCCTGTCCTTCAGTCAAGCACTCATGACCCAAAGACACATGCTCCTGGAAGGTGCACCCAACTCTGCTTCTGCCCGCCCCCCACCCCCGAATTATTTCAGTCCAACAGGCGGGACTTACCTGCCTGACTTATCACTCAGAATTGTCTGGAGACACAATGAGCCATCCTTGACCGTCTCTTTTGCGTAAGCCTGGGAGTTTACAGACCACATCTGCTGGCCTTAAAGCTGGTCCTGCTGTCAGAAGGCCCCATGGGTGAGGATGCAAGATGGTGTGAGATGTCCTTTCCTTTCTGGAAGCACTTATATTTTTATATATGCCGGTGTCACTGAACCATCTTTGCCCAGAGACAGTTCTCAGTCTAAGCAACAAGACTCAGGAGAACAGATACCCAGTAAGGAGAATATGGGATCTAGGTAATCCTTTGTCTGGGACAGAAAGCCGTAGGCACCCATCTGAATTAGATGCTGAAGACTGAGGTCTCTTGTCTGACCTATAAAGACGTCTTCCAGGGCATTTTTGCTCTGGCCCAGAACTGAACTGAACACCACAAGCCACCTATTGTCTTCCAGGGCCTGAGGACATTCTACTACAGGTCCTTATTTGGATATTCCAGGGAATCTAGGTATTTCCAACCTCCCTTAGAAGTTTCTGGAAGCTGCTAGATAGATCTACTTTGGGTAGCCTTGCTGCCTCTCCCCTGCCCCACTGCCCAGACGAAAATGGCACCTGCTAGGGAAGTTGCATGGCTGTTTGTGCCTTGGAATTGATCAGATACTGCTCTTTTAAGCTCAGATGCAAACTTTGCTGGTACATTCTGAGGAGGGGTTCTGAGCTCAAATGCACCCAGAAGACACCCAGTTCATACTCCTTTTGACATGGGTTGGCTTTTGTCTCCATCAGATCCAACTCTTAATTTCTATTCTTTCATATCAAAGTGGAATGGTTATTTTGGTTCTGTTAAACATTTCTGATTCTAAACAGAAAATTCAATTTGAAGAAGTTGATTAAAATTTACACTGCCACCAGAAGCACATATCAGAAATATTTCTACGCTCACAGGAGCTCTCATGTTGTAGAGTCCATGATTTTTGATTGTCAGGCAGTGGCTTAGCGTCAAGAGGATCACCCTGTGTTCTTCGAACAGCTAGTGTCTGTGGCACTTCGCGTAGTCCGGGGTGGAATCTGAAGTCAACCTTTGATAGGGCCTTTACTCTCCGGAAGTGTACAGTCATTAGACTACTTCAGATCCCACTTAAAGAAGGCAGATAATAAAAAAAAAGAAGGCAGATAATATTTATATTAAGAGGCAGAGATTTGTTTTCCCTTAATCTTTCTCCAAACTGCCATTTCCTGGGTGGGTGTAGGAATGCCCCTTATGAGACTTGGGTGAGTGAAAGTGCCTTACAGTCAAGGTCAGCCTCACCCTCTGTACCCATCAGGTGCATTACTATGGTCTCCTGTTCTTCCTGGAATTGCTTTGCCCTTGACCCCTGAAGGTCCACTCTTGGAAGGCGGTGGACATCTGTATTTGTCACTTTTGTCACAGCATCCAGCTTCTTTTCCAGATCAGTTCCACCATTTCAAAGTAGAGCGATTGTATGGCTTGGCTTCTAAGTGATCGGATGATCTTCGGGATTGGTGATCATTTTACTGTCAAACTGCAGTGGGGGTTAATGTGTATTTAATCTTTTTTAATGATCTTTCCTTTCCTTTCTGTCTCCTAAAGGTTTTACCCAATACACTTGGTTAATAATACAGAATTTGGCTCCTTTTCTGAAAGCAGGGCTCACTTTTTCCCTCCTTTTTTTGTGAGAACTTTCTAAATGATCCCTGTCTGTCCATGAGTGCTGTTACTGTGGGTGGTGATCTGAAGTTCTCTTGGGTTAGGTCCCCTGGGCAAGCCTTGGACAGGAAGGGCCACTCCTGTTGCTACGAGGGAAAGGATAATCATTCACTTGGGGGTTGTGGCTTCAGGATATCAGCAGTTAATCATGCCAATTAAGCAAAAACACTTCAATAGGATCTGCTCAATTAGAACACTTCAGGAGGATGTGCTCAATTAAACATGGGTAGCTTGAAGAACTGTGTATGACTGTGTAAGAGAGAGAATGATGTGTGTGACTATTGCCCAGTGAGGGTCTGTATATCAGTCGGATGATTTAAAGCCAGTCCCCAAAGCCCATATATACCATTAGGCTATGAGGACATTCAAGAACTGCCTATTCTCTGGGTCTGACCTGGTGTTAGAGGGCTGCATATTTCTTTTCTTTGGTGTGGCTCGAAAAGTCTTAGATCTTGGAAGCTGGACCTTAGGCAAGTTACTTAACCTCTTAGATCCATGACTTCCTTCTGTATAAAATGGAGGTAGGGCTAACTATAGGTTGCAGTAATTAAATTATGTGAAGGGGGAAGCACAGTACCAAACACGTGGTAGGTGGCTCTGTAACTAGAGGTTTGCTCCATTTAACAGGCCTTCCCCCTACAGTTTATCCCATGTCCACTCAGTGCCAGGAGCTCCTGCAGATGCTGGGGACCCAGGGATGACCAAGAGAGAGAAGGCCTCTTTTCTGTGGGAGGTGACATTTCTCCTGGGGAGCCCAGTGGAGACCGTTTCATTTCAGAGGATGATTTTTAGGTAGTGAAAAGTGTTATAAATGAACCTTGATAGGGCTCAAGACTGAAGACACTTTGAGGAGGGGATACTTGAATGAGGCCTGAATTCTTAGCAAGAACTACCTGTGGCGTGTTCAGAGCCCTGAGGGGCATCACCTTGGCATCTTCAGGACAGAACAAATGCTAGAGTGTCTGGAAGGGATGACTGAGATGTGGGGTGCAGGATTTGGGTCCAGTGGGCTGGGCCAGGGTCTTAGGCTCTGGCTTGAGGACCGTGAGACCAGTTTATAACAGGCCATCTTTTTCAGAAGGTAAATGTGAGTTGTTCTGTCCATTCCCTGGAAGTGAGTTTTCTTGAATTGTGTAAGTAATCGATGACCAGTTTGTTTTGTACTGGAAGCCAAGGCCAAAGCAGACTTCACATTCATCCCGGGAAGAATCCAGCTGCTCAGAGGGGACCCTCCCCAGGTGACAGTGGGACACAGAGGCCTTGGCTGCTAGGTACCTGGGGCTTCACTCACACCAGTGAAGCACCTGTGCTGGGCACTGGGTTAAAGGTGGGAGTGGGGCTCCTGTGGATGTTGAGACCAAAGGAGGCCTTCCGCTCACACTCACCCGCGGCACTGAGAGCCTGGGGAGACGAGCCCAGGAAGTCCCTTCCCCAGGGTCCTATCTCCAAGCTTTCTGGGACTGCCCACACATTCTTATCAGCCTCTCTCCTCTGTGTCTGCCCTTCCCATGTGGGTACCTCAGGATGTTGCTCAGCTTCGAGGCCCATTCCCCATTGTCTCCTTGGCCTCAACCCTGCTCTCTCCCAGGCTGAGAATCTTTCTTATCTAAAGCCTACCCAAATCTTTGTAAATTTTTATTCTTTTCTGATGACTAAAGAAACGCAGCTTGGTTCCTAAAAATTCACAAGGTACAGAAACAGAAAGCAGAAGACCTTGCTAAATCTAGACTCTACCCCAGTATGGCGCACATTACAGTATAGGTGTGCTTATTTTAGCTACAAGTCACTCTGTTTATTCCTTTTTTCTCCTAAAATGCTAATATATATTTAGCTGTTCTCTCCCCTTTCCCTACTCACTTTGGATTTTTTTTAATAAAGTTATTATCTGTCTATATCTTCTATGAAGGATCTGCATTTTTTTAATCTGTGTCATCTGTATTAGCCACCTGTTGATTTTTGTTTTCATTTTTCTTTCTTTTTTTCTTGTTTTCTACCACTTGTTGATTTTATATTCAAGCGCTCCGGTTTTCTCCTGCTCTAAGTTCTAGGACTCCTCAGTAAGGTCTCCAGAGCTCTGAGCCACATTCATCATTCACTCCTGCCTCTTATTTTTGACATTGGGATTATTTAGATCTATAGTATATTGTTTTCTACCCTTTTACTTTTCACCTATCTATGTCTTGACATGTAAAGTCTTCACATTTAAAAGTTTCTTACAGACAGCATAGAGCTGAGTATTGTTTTTTAATATAGTCCAATAATCTCTCCCTTTCATTTGGAGTGTTTAGCCCATTTACATTTAACTTAATTATCCATGTGGTTGGATTTAAGTTTGCCATCTTGCTATTTGTTTCTGTTTGTCCCACCTGTTCTTTTACCTTTCTTCTTTTGGATTACTTTTTAGAGTTGTATTTTATTTCCACTCCTGGCTTAGCATGCACCAGAGTCTCAGAGGGCTTCTTAAAACACACAATCATATGTTTTACTTATATGTATGTTATAAACCCCATACTACCTTACTATTATTTTTGCTTTTAATGGTCAGTTATTTTTTTTAAGATTTAAAAGTAAACGGGGTAAAAGTGTTTTACATTCCTGGTCTTCTTCATTCCTTTGTGTTGATCCAAGTTTCCACCTGGTATCATTTTCCTTCACCTGAAGAACTTTTTTTAAAAGATTTTATTTACTTATTCATGAGACACACACACAGAGAGAGAGAGAGCGAGGCAGAGACACAGGCAGAGGGAGAAGCAGGCACCATGCAGGGAGCCCAATGTGGGACTCGATCCTGGGTCTCCAGGATCATGCCCTGGGCCAAAGGCAGTGCTAAACCACTGAGCCACCCAGGCTGCCCCACCTGAAGAACTTTAATATGTCTCATAGTACATGTCTGCCAGTGACCAATTCTCTTAGCTTTTTGTCTGAAAAAGTTTTATTTTGCCCTCATTTTTGAAGAGTATTTTCCCTGAATATAGAATTCTAGGTTGACAGGGTTCTTTTTTCCTTCAGCACTTTAAAAATGTCATTCAATTGTTTACTGGCTTGGACATTTTCTGATAAGAAGTCTGCAGTTACTCTTATCTCTGCTCCTCTTGTTTATCACGGGGTTCCCCTCCTCTCCCCTCCCCCACCCACCCCTGGCTGCCCTAAGATTTTTCTCTTTATCACTGGTTTTCAGCAATTTCATTATGATGTGTTTTGGTGTACGTGTGTGGTTTTTTAGTTTTGTCATCTGTTTAGTCTTGATAGGGTTTGGTTGGGCCTATATCTTGAATCTAGTTTTCATCAAATTTGGGGAAAAAAATTCAACTATTATTTCTTCAACTCTATTTTTATCATCTCCCTCTTTTCCTCATCTTTTCAGATTCCAGTTATATGTGTGTTAGACAATTTTCTGTTATGCCCAAGTCACTGAGACTGTTTTTTTAAATATCTTTTTTTCTTTTTGATCTTCATTTGGTATAGTCTCTATTTTCTATCCTCTAGCCTTTTTTGGGGGGAGGGGGAGTCATTGTGTCTAATCTGATGTTAATCACACCCAGTGAAATTTTCATTTTAACTGTTATAGTTTCCACCCCCAGCAGTCCCATTTGGATCTTGTTTATATTGTCCATTTTTTTTCATTATGTTTGTTTTTCTTTCAATATTCATACGTAGTTAAACTAGCCATTATCCTTCTCTGTAAGTTCTACCAATAATCATTTTTGAGTGTTTCTGTTGACCTGAGTTTCCTTGCCATGGGTCACATTTTCCTGGTTCTTGACATTTCAGTAATTTTTTATTGGATGTTGGGCATCATAGAGATTATATTGAGTGTCTAGATTCTGTTGTTTCTCTTTGAAGAGTGTTGGACTTTGTTTTGGAAGGTAGTTATTTGTGGAACAGCTTCATCACATTGAGGCCTATTTTTAAGCTTTTCTAGAGCAGGTTCAGGGTAGCTGTGGCTTCAGGAGTCTATAAGTCCTACTGCTAAGGCATGGCTCCTCTGATTCCCAACTGAATGTCCCAGGTGATCCTGGAGGACTCCCTACTCTGGTTGCTTGGACTCTGAACATCTCCCTACCTGTGTGTGTCCTCTGATTGTCCAGCCTAAAGCTTCCTGGCCATTCTTTTCCTAGCCTTTGGGAGTTTTATTATGTATGTGTGGCTTAGGAGTCAGAAAAGGCTCAAGGGGACCCTTATGCTGATTTTTTTTTGGGGGGAGCTCTTTTTTTTCCTGCGAAGTTCCCTCCTTTCTGGAACTCTGCTCTACAACTTCTAGCTGCGTCAGCTGCTCTTAATGCTAGTCTGTGTCTTGATGAAGCCACCAGGCTCTATTTGAGTCCACCTTCCCTGCACTCAGTCTGGAAATTGCCTCCAGGCGAGCCAGGGCCACGATAAGGCTCTCACCTCAGTTGTTTCTCTCCAGAGATGGTGATCCTGCACTTCCTGCTGTTCGGTGTCTGAAAACTTGTTTCACATTCATTTTGTCCAGTTTTATACTTGTTTATGGCAGGACATTGTTTGTTCCTTGTTATAATATCATGGCCAGAAGTAGAAGTGTCTGTCTATCCCTTTCAATATAATATCTAATTTTGTGTAAAAGTCTTTCTGGAGCGTCTGGGTTTTCTACTCCGTGAGCTAGTATTAGAATGCCTCCTTTTCACTTAGTTATGAATGGAATTGAATTGACCTGCCATCAGAACAGAAACTGTGTTCCTCCTGTTTCTTTGAATTTGCCGAAACAGGAGGCCTATATAAGGCACATACATTTGTGGTCATATAATCATAACGTTTCACATATTTTGCAATCTGGAAGAAAAAGGTAAATTGTTCATACTGTTCAGATCTTTTATTCAGCAACTTTGTGTTTGAAGATCTTTGAGGCTTCTTTTTCTAGCTGTTTTGTTCAACTTTTCATTTTGGCATATATTTCGCAGAAATGCTCTTGTGTGCACCTGTCTCACTGTCACCTACTTGATTGTTTCAGTTGGGTGGGCTGTGAACCTTAAGGGGCCTGGCCTCTGGCCAACAAGACCTGGATCCTGCTCTTTCGTTGCCCATCTTCCTTTCAGTGGCCCCGTCTTTTTTTGTCACCCTTCCAAAGTTGGAAAGATCTTTCACTTGTCACTTAGTTATTTCTTCTGATACTCTTCTGGGGACACTTCCTTCCTGCGCAGTGGTAGCACTGACCTCTTTGGGGCTGGCTGCTAAGAGGCCTGTGGCCAGCCTGCCTCAGAGAGCCAGTCTCGCTGCCATTGGCTATCCATCTGTGTCTATATTCTCTGGGCCGTTCCTGGGCTAACATTTGTCTGTCTTGTCTGGGTTCTCTCTGGCCTGCCTGTATTAATTCTTTGCCAGCCTATTCTCCCCAGTGTTTGGGGTATGTTTTCTTAGGTACACCCATGCTCCGGCTTGTCACTCAGCTGCAGTGCAAGCGAAGCCTGACTAAGTTTTAAAGCCAGGGAAAAGGAAACCAGTAGGCTTGTCCTAGGGAACTCAAAGGCAGGGTAGCTGTCACTCATGGCTCTTTTCACTTCCCTTAGCTCTGCCTGCCCCTCAGAGTCTTGCCCTTTCCCAGGATGGACCCCCTGGAAACCAGGTCCTGGCAGGCCCTCTTGAAATACTTGAGGCCCAGGTGAGCTGTGCTTCTGTCTGCCTGGTTAGGAATCTGTCACTGCTCCCTGATTCTGGCCTTGGCCTGTATGTGTTTTCCCAGCATGACGTGCTACAGGACCAGAACTCCCGCCTCTGCCTTCCCTCCCTCTGCTTTCTTCCTCAGAGTCTACAGAGAAATGGATGCCTGCTGGGGTTGTAATTCCCATTGAGCCGGGGGTGGAGAGCTGCATTTCAGTCCAGGAAAGCGATTGAGCCGAGGTCCCTTGGGAAGACAGTGGGAGGTCCGGGCCCTGGCCCAGGTCTTGTGATGCTTGGTCAGATTGTCTTTCCAGGACTTCTCGACGCTTATGCTTCAGTCTCCATGCCAGCAAAACACACACCACTGCAGACCCTCGCCTCTTATCCCGGCTCTTACTAGTACTGCCCCTGCCTCATTCTAGAGTAGTTAGAAGGACTACTTATCCCTGGGAATTCTTTCAGGATTCAGTGACATTTGATGACGTGGCACAGTACCTCACACAAGGAGTGGTTGCGACTGGACAGTGACAGGAGGACGCTGGCATATTGCAGGAGTGCCACCTCTGGGTAAGGATGCCCCAGCCCTTCCCCACTTCTCACAGCTGAATGGTCCTCCACGGCTGGGTGTGGGGTGAGGGCCACCTGCACTAGGCCTACACAAGCTTGCCTTCCGGGGGCCCATGCCCCCCACCTTGGGGATTGGCTGGAAGAAAACCCAAAGGGCCTTGTCACCCTCAACCTTTTTTTCCACGTTTCAGAGTAGCAGGGCTCCCTCCCACTTCCTAATGGCATCGAAAGAAGCCCCCTCAGCGCTTCCTTGGCAAAGAAATGAGAACAAGCTGGACACTCTCATCTAGAAAAAAAAATTCTTAAATCCCAAATGACACAAAAATTGCGCGGCCGTTTTGTTATAGCACATAGTCAAGAGTGAGGTTGACCCAGCCAGGTCCTCTGCCCTCTTCCATGTGCAGGAAGGAGTTCCTGTTTTGAATCCTCCCTGGTGTGAGGACACCTGCTGCCGGCCACCGCGCGTCCCTTGATGCAGACTGGGCGAAGCAGTCCGGTGAGCGAGGGGAAAAGGAACCGGAAAAGTGAGCAGGTCGTGGGGTGAAGCGCGCTGCGCCTTTGGGGAGGGGGTGTGGCTCCTTCCCAGGGGTAGAGGGCGGGGAGCTCCTGGGGCTACTTTGGTGGTAGCGAGTGGGCGGACCCTGGGCCCCCTATGCCCCTTTCGCTTCCGGGTGGAGGGGCGCCCGCCCTGCTGTGCCCCGACCCCAACGTCACCCCCCCCGCCCCCGCCCTTACCCCCGCCGTGCTCGGGCCGCGGGCGAATGCGATTCTTGGCGGAGGAGCGCCACCTCCGTCCCTGTCCCCTGCAGGGCGCGGCGTCCTGCGGTGCTGGCGTCCGAGAGCGCGGGGCCGAGCCGGCGGCGGGCGATGGGCGAGGACGCTCAGCCGCGGGAGGTGGCGTCCACGAGCTCCCCGCGGGCCGGCGGGCCCAGCGCCGACGTCAGAGCCAACAGGGACCCTGAGGGCCGGGCGGGCGGCCTGCGCGACCTGCCCATGGAGCACCACTTCGCGTGTAAGGAGTGTGGGGACGCCTTCCGGCTGAAGGTCCTCCTCGTGCAGCACCAGCGGGTTCACAGCGAGGCCAAGGGCTGGGAGTGCGCCGACTGTGGCCGCGTGTTCCGGGCGGCGGCCGAGTTCAACGAGCACCGCAAGAGCCACGCGGCCGCCGAGCCGCAGCCGGGCCCGAGCCGCGCCGCGGAGGCCGCCCCGGAGGAGAGGGAGCAGGCGGAGAGGGCCGCGAAGCCCTTCGAGTGTGAGGAGTGCGGGAAGCGCTTCAAGAAGAACGCGGGCCTCAGCCAGCACCTGCGCGTGCACAGCCGGGAGAAGCCCTTTGACTGTGAGGAGTGCGGGCGCTCGTTCAAAGTGGGCACGCACCTCTTTCGCCATCAGAAGCTGCACACGGCCGAAAAGCCGTTCGCCTGCAAGGCGTGCGGCCGGGAGTTCCTGGACCGCCAGGAGCTGCTCAAGCACCAGCGCGCGCACACGGGCCACCTGCCCTTCGACTGCGACGACTGCGGCAAGTCGTTCCGCGGCGTCAACGGCCTGGCCGAGCACCAGCGCATCCACAGCGGGGCCAAGCCGTACGGCTGCCCGCACTGCGGCAAGCTGTTCCGCCGGAGCTCGGAGCTCACCAAGCACCGCCGCATCCACACGGGCGAGAAGCCGTACGAGTGCGGCCAGTGCGGCAAGGCCTTCCGCCAGAGCTCCAGCCTCCTGGAGCACCAGCGCATCCACACGGGCGAGCGGCCGTACGGCTGCGGCGACTGCGGCAAGGCCTTCCGCGGCCCGTCCGACCTCATCAAGCACCGGCGCATCCACAGCGGACTGAAGCCCTACGAGTGCGACAAGTGCGGCAAGGCCTTCCGCAGGAGCTCGGGCCTCAGCCGCCACCGCAGGACCCACAGCGGAGCGAGGCGCTGCGAGTGCAGCGAGTGCGGCCGCGTGTTCAAGCGGCGCTCGGCGCTGCAGAAGCACCAGCCGAGCCACCGCGACTAGACGCGGCCCCCGGGCCGGGGGGGGGGGGGCGAGGCCCGGGAGGGGCAGGGCAGAGTCAAAGGAGATGAACACTTTTGTAGCGCTTCTATATTTTCCCGTCAGAGAGGTCCGAACCGATTTATACCGTCACCAGCAATTTCTAACTGTCCGTGTTGCCCATTTTGCCTATCGAGAGTAGCCTCGATGACGTTCTGGTTGATTCTGACTAGCCCGACTCGCGTACAGGCCCTTCAGGGTACTTAAAGCCACGGGCCTGCAAACGGAGAGGGACAGAAGACAAACGTGCGTGGGCCGGGGCGGAGGGGGGCTCGCGGCCCGCCTCTCCGAGCCACCCCCTCCGGGAGCCGGACGCAGAGCGCGTCGGCGACGGCCGCCACATCATGTGACCCCAACTTGCCTGAAGACAAGAGAGCCCCAAAGTCGTTTGGCCTACTTGAATTTAGAAATGTTTAGGGATGTAAATAGAATACTCAAAGAAAGGTCTTATAATATTTAATTTATTAATTCAGTTCTGCATACATACTGTAAATCACATATTGCATAGAATAATATATTAATTTAGAGAATACCCCCCCCCCCGTTTTCCCTCACGCCACTCCCGAAGATCATTGTACTCTAAATCCTCACGCGCAGTTTCTGACCTCACCGTCCTCACCACCTCACCACCGTCGTAGCCCCTTTGGAGTCACCCGACAGTTTCAAAGCACATCCAGTGGCTTCCGTTCATCCAAGCTGTGTGCCACGTAGCACTGTGACAATCCCTGCACAAGGCCCTCACTAGAAATTTCCTCCCAAGCGTAAGTACACGTTCACATTACATTAGGACAACTGTTGTTGTTTTCCTTGAATTCATCCCGTAGCTCTACAACGTAACCACTTAACGTGTTTTGCTTTCTGAAAATGACCTTCAAAAGACTTTTCTGAAGCATCTATAACTTGTCATTGTGAGGTCGTATGCCTAGGAATAAGTATTGAATCTGGGTTAAATTTCTTTTGCATTCATTTTCCTGAGACCAATTCATTCTGGTGACTTCCATGTGCGTCCAAAACTAGCGTCGATTGGGGTCTGTTTTCGGGCTAATAGGTCTTGTCCTCAAGCAGCACTATTTGGTTCAAACTCAAGTAGTTGAGAGAGCATCCCCGTAACAGGGACATCTCGAGGACTCAAGTATAAGCTGATGGCTCGTTTTCAGGAATGTGAGCCTCCCCGCAAACGGAGCCAGCCCTCCGTTTTGGGCTCTGTAAAACAGGGGTGATCACAGGACTACCTCCTAAGGTTATCGTGAGAACCGCGACGCCACGCCTGGCCCGAAGGTGCACCCTCAGTGAAGGGCATCTGCCGTCATCACCATAATTATTGCTGTCATTCTATGGCTCATTAGTACCAGAACTGGGGATGGACCCAGGCCTCCTGACTCCTAGTCTCATCTTCTTTCTCTCATGCAATGACTTAAATCGTGTTCCCGTTTTCTTGCATGCAAATCGTACGTTCATCTCCTTTGACCAGTTATCAAGTTACCTTTGGATATATTGACTTTATACAGCAGTTCTTTCTAGATCGATTGTGATTATCTTTTTTCCAGTTTTATTGCTTTTGCCCTTTGTAGCCGTTTTATTGCATTTTTGTCGTGCGAATTTTAAGTTTTCATATCCGAGCACTCACCGTTGTCCGTTAAGCCGTAACTTTCATTGCTTCAGTACTTAGATACGATGATGTTTTCTTCTAGAATTTTAATTACAAATGAAAAGCTGAAAGCCCTGCCCCACCAGAAGGTGGATGCACCAGGTGGGCAGGCTGGATGGGAATGGGCCAGAGAAGCAGGCTCTCTCCTCATCCAAGATGCAGACTCTGTGCATGTCTGTGGGCAGTACTTGACTATCCAACCTGGCCACGCAGACACGCAAGAGAAACTTCCATCTCGGATTGGCCAGAACATTCTGACTGTTCCTCAGTATAGCCCTACCTGTCAGCAGCAGGGCTGGGCCTCCACTAGATCAATGGGGGGTGGTCCAAATGTGGTCTTGGCTGCAGCTGGCTGTCCTTCAAGCTTCTGGGAGCTTTGGCCATGCCCAGCATGGATTCAGTGCCTGAGCAGCAGATCCCCCCCCCACACACAAGACACATCTCCTCGAACATAAGAAGACTCACCTGACTGATGCTGTCGTGTGGATTGCATCCTCCTCTCAGCGAGTGACTCTGGAACCAGAAAGAGGTCGGTTTGGTGGCTTTTGCTTTGGGCAACTAGAGGGAAATTCACCCACATGTTCTGATGTTACCTCCTGCAGCTATACCTAAGAGGAACAACAGAGCAAAGGCTCGGAGAGGAACCGTGCTCCTCTGATGCCGTGTGTGTCTCGGTGATAGAAGCTGGCCAAATAATAGGCCCCAGCTGTGACATTCAGCGGCCATGCCCAGGAGGGGCAATAAAACAGGGGTCTGGAGGGCAATGATGCCCTTCTGATGGCCCATGTGGCATATACATAGAAGCTGATCGTCCCGGGGTCAGGCTGTTACTTCCAACAGCCTCCCTCGAGAGGAACAGCAGCAAGGGCTGGCCAGAAACCTGACCCCCAGTGACCTGCAGAACCTGCAGGTGGAAGCCAGCCTCACTGGGGCTGTGGTGTGACTTCCCAGCAGCTGTCCCCGGGGGCCTCTAGAGGGCCCATGGAGGAGGTGTACCCTTCTGATGGGCCCACCCAGGCTGAGGCAGAGCTTCCCGGCAGGCACATCTGGAAGAGCTTCTCAGGCCCCCATCCTGGGAAGCAGGGTCCCACGGTGGCCCCTGTGACCTTAGCCAGAAGGTACTCTGGAGTGGCCCCCAGGCCACAGTGGTGGCTCTCTGTGACGTCTCCATCCTGACCCTCAGGCTGGAGAGAAGCCAACAGCACTTGTTACATAGCCGCTCCTTTTGCTCTGTGGCTTCAGTTCTTGCAGTAGTTGTGAAACTGTGTCTGAAATCACTGCTTCCTTCTGCATCCGTTTTCTCTTTTCAAGCTGTCAGGACATGTTCGACACAGCCGTCATCCGGTAAGGAATCTGACATTCACGAGGGGCAAGGCTGGCGACTGTCGCTGGAAGTACTCTGCCATTTCTTGCTTGTTCACTAGCCATTTTGTCAGCTTTCACGAAGGATCCAGATACAGTATTAACTCAGAACTTAGCGTTGTCGCCACCGCTCCATTCCTCCCCAGCCAGGCAGGACACGGCATCCTGGCAGTCATGCCGTCCTTGAGGTTTTTCCGTTCTCGGTTCTGTCGTTTTCTCCAAAACCAACCCTCCTCTAGAGTTAACACTAAAGACCGCGTCTTTTCTGCCACTGTGTTTGCGCGTGAAGTCCGTGCTCTCTCCCGCGCAAGCATGCGTGGCTTTAACGTGTGTCCCGTAGTTGTGCCAAGTTTCGTTTTTTTGCCTCTGGTAACTTGGGGGTGGATTCCTTGGATTCTGTAGGTGTACTGCTACGTCAGATGCAAAATGTGATCAAGCTTCCTGTTGTGTGTGCTCGTCTATGCATTTGTGTATCTACCTCATTTCGTTTTTTTTCTTTCTAATCACACACATTCCTTTTGCAAGGGAAATGAAGAGCAGTTGGGTTACACAGAATGCCGACTCTCATTAGAAATAGATCCTTTTCTTATTTGCCGAAAGAAACCTTCCATTGCTTTTATTAAAGTTTTGAATACTTGCTGACATTTTTTCAATGAAAGTTGTTGTTTACCATTGTTGCTGCTTATTAAGATTAACTGTGTTGATTAGTTGTGTCACACCCACTTCTGCATTTCCACAGTGAGCCCCACCCAGTCGCAGTGTTGGCATTCCACGGGCTCGGGGCTGCAGCCCTCACCCCCCACTTTTAGGCCATAGTAGTTAAACCAGAACTGAACGCTTGACTCGGGCAGCAACTGGTCATCAGAGCTGGCTGGAGGCGACAGGCTGGGCCGTTCAGTTCCTCTGTTTGTCGCAAAATGGAAACAAGAGACACGAGAGAGAAGTTTCTAGTTGGTGTTACAAGACAGAGGGAGCCACGCGGTATTTGGCGGAGTCGACCCCGTGGGTGACACCAGTTGGAAGATCTGCGGGCTCCTGCTCAGCACTCCAGAGAGCTGCCTCAACTCCCGCGCCCCGACGGAGTCCTGGCCTCGTTATGTTCTTGGATCTCTGGCAGTTGCCCTCACCAGTTCGTTTGTCTCCCCACCAGAGTCTCCCTTGACCGAAGCCAGCTTGAGGGGGCTCTGCTTTCTGCAACCCGTCAAGAGTCAGTGGCCTTTTACCACTTGGCCGCGTCCTGAGAAGAATCACATGGCTGGTTTCCTCATGGTCCACCCCGCTCGAGCTCCTGGCCCCAGCCCCACCTGACGGTCGCAAACACCTGTTTAAATGTGGTCCTGTGTTCCGTTCGCTCCGATGGGTAAAAATCTATGCCTTTTACTCTCAGCGAGTTTGACCAATGCCTTTCTGTCCGGGTACCGTGCCTGTACGGATCCCCTGTTTGTCCCGTGAAGCGAGTGTCAGTCAACACCCGCCCTGTTGTTCATTTTGGAAGTGTCTCGCTACTTCCGGAGAATCTGTTAAAGTGGGGAATTGGGAATTTCTCTATTACTAGTATACTCACGTGCTGTACTTCTCATCATTGTATCGGTGTAGGTGTTTACTTTCCAAGCTAGAGATGGTCTCTTTTAACTTGGCCTTCAATGCTCTTTGCATATCTAAGAACAGTAGCTGGGCCCGCCCCAGTCCATGTTTCAGTTGTTGGCGCTCTTCTCTCATTCCTCCCTGGTCTCCTTAACTTGTCTGTTTTACGGCACTTACTATAATCAGCCTTGCACTAGAGCTTCGCCCTCCCCACCCCCCCTCCCGCGTTAGATTGTGAGCTCTTATAAGACAGGGGTGACCCTTCATGTCTGATTCCCCTACCAGATCTAGCACAGTGCCTTGCATCAAGTAGATTTCAATAAATATATGTTAAATGGCATTGGTGTTCCTTGACTTCTTTTGTCAAAAGTTTAGGTCAACCGCTCTTCCCTTGCCCCTTCCCCTGTGCTCTGAAGTTCTTGCCCCCTCCTGGGGTCCGGGTGTTATCTTGTGCCCCCCACCCCTTCCTGGATGCCTGGAGGAGACAGGAGGTGCCCTGATGGGAGAGGGCTGGCTTCCCTGGAAATGTGAGCCGCCCCTTGGCAGAAGAGGCCTGTCACTCAGCCAGGTACCTTCTCCCACCCTGGCTAGGGCTCTCCCTTGAGTCTGTATTCCAGGTGGGAGCAGAACACCGAGCTGGACCCTGAGCTCCTCCTGTGGGGACCAGGGGGGATAGAGTGACACAAGTGGCTTCTAGAACTTGAGGACCAGCCAGCCTCTCTGGGCTAGGTGAGGGTGGGAGTCGGTAGATCAGCCCTCTTGGCTGGTGGCTGGCCCTCTTTCTAATGACCATTTCCTCAAAAAAAGCAGGTAGCAAGGACAGGCCCCTGGCTTCCTGGCCCTCCCAGATGCAAACAAGGCTCAGCTGTGGAGTCAGCTGCCCGGCCCCAGAAGGACAAGCACAAACGGGGCCCCAGGAGTGCTTGGGTTGGGATCTCATGGGCCATGATGTGCTTGCAAGAGCAAGGAGCAAGATTTTGGAAAGGACCATGCTTTTGCCCAGCATCCCAGTCTCCTGGAGGCTCCCAGGCAAGGCCTGTGTCATCTTTTCTCCAGGGTCCCATCCTCATCGGTCTGTCAATCATTTTTCTACCCCAAATGCAGTTTCTGGGCAGGAGCTGTGGTACTGCCTTACCCCCCTGCCAACCCAGCCATCTCTGCTCGTGTGCCGGTTATTTGGAAAGAACCGTTCATCTGCTTTGCTGGTTTCGTGATGTACTTGCCACTGAGAAGTCCGCTTATTTTTTCTTAAAATGTGTGCAAGCTCTGTTCAGGCAAGCTTTGGTTGTGCTAAACTCAAGGCCACAGGTCCGTTTGGACATCTAATACTGGGCCCAGAGGGTAGGGGACAGCCTGGGGCTTCTCTCTAGGGGCCTTGGAGGCTTCTAGTAGGGGTTTCAGAATGTTCCCCTCTGCCCCTCTCTTAGTGCCCCTGCCCTCTGGAGCCCCGTAGCGGCTTCAGCACCACCCTCCTCTGAGACCCCCTCCCCAAGAAGTCTTGCTCTTCTGGGAGTTCCCAGACCCCCACCTCACGGGCCAGCGTCTGGGCCTCCCTCATTGCCCACAGCCCTTGGGCCGAGCCCACTTGTATCCAGCTCACTCCCCAGCTAGGAAGGGCCAGAGGCATTGTCTTAGCGCGTTCAGGCTGCTATAAGAAAACTGCCATAAAGGAGGCTTCCTAACAATGACTGCCCGTGGGTCTGGAGGCTGGGAAATCCAAGACCAAGGCGCCAGCCAAGCCAGCGTCTGATGGAGGACCTGCCTCCTGATTCCTAGATGACAGTCACTGTGCTGTGTCCTCACGTGATGGAAGGGTCAGAGAGCTGTCTGCAGCCTCTTTTTTTATTTTTTATTTTTATAAATTTATTTTTTATTGGTGTTCAATTTGCCAACATATAGAATAACACCGAGTGCTCATCCCGTCAAGTGTCCCCCTCAGTGCCCATCACCAATTCACCCCCACACCCCGCCCTCCTCCCCTTCCACCACCCCTAGTTCATTCCCCAGAGTTAGGAGTCTTTCATGTTCTATCTCCTTTTCTGATATTTCCCACTAATTTTTTCTCCTCTCCCCTTTATTCCCTTTCACTATTTTTTATATTCCCCAAATGAATGAAACCATATAATGTTTGTCCTTTTTCTAAGGGTAATAATCCCATCCATGGGGGCTCTGCCCTCATGACCTAATCACTCCTAAAAAGCCCCACATCCTGATGCCATCACATCAGGGGTTAGGATTTTGATGTATGGATGCGGGGCGGGGGAGTGGACAGACATTCAGAGGTGAGGGTACATGGGCTTCTCTTGGGTTTATGCACTTACAGTGTGATTCATACATCCGTGAACTGTTTGAATTTCTTTCCACTGAGCATGTCCTATTATTACTTTGATTAAAATATTTTAAAAATCTATAATAAAAAAAAAACACGATCCCCAATTTTTCTTTGCAGGCAAGACAGGTCAGAAAATCCTGGCGTTGCCTCACCCCTCTTCTGACCTTCCTGCAACGAGCATTTATTGAGCACCTGCAGTGTGCCAAACTCCAAGAGCAGCTGAAACAATCCTCACCCTCAAGGCCAGACACGGAGCCAGAATGTTATAAGTGGGACCTACACTCACCGAGCTGGGCTCCTAAGATTCGTACATTTTTGTGGGTGCAGCTTACGCTTCAGTTAGAAAAATGACAAAGCTAAAGGCACAAGCTCAATATTAGCAAATTACCCGCCCACCCCCCATCTGCAGGTCCTCAACCTCCACACCCGGCCCTGGCTGGAAGGGAGCGCTCCCTCCGCCCTGAAGCCCCCCCCCCTGCTTTCCGGCCTCGCTGCCTGGGAGTGGCCTGCAGCCACACACTGGGAGCCCGAGGCAGGGTGGAGCAGAACCCCTCGGGTGCGGGGGGCCAGCACCCAACCCAGGGCCGGGCCCGGAGTAGGCCCTTGGTGGAGGTGTCGCCCTGTGCGTGGGTGGGAGGACGAGGCTCTCCCAGCCCAGGTCAGGACCCGAGGGACCACACTGCATGGGACGCAGCCTCGGCCTGGGCCTCCCCTCGCCTCCTTTCTCCCCACCCAGAACGAAGCGGTGGGGATGATGGATCAGATCGTGTACTGGGTGCAGGAGGACCCCTCGGGGCTGCGCCAGCCCTGTCTCCCGGGGGCCCCTGCCTCTGAGTCCATGGCGGTGCCCATGATGCTGCTCAACCTGGTGGACCAGCTCGGGGAGGCGGACGAGGAGCTGGCGGGCACCTACGCGGAGCTGGGGGACTGGTGTGCCCAGAGGATCCTGCAGCATGTCCAGGTGGGGGGCATGCAGGGGGGGCAGTGCGTGAATAGGAGGCTGACACTTGCCTGCTGAACGGGGCCTGGGAGCTGGGGAGCGGGGTGACCCCAGTCCCCACTCTCTGGGGCACCTCCTGTGCCCACACCCACACCCCCAGCTGGGTCCTGACGGCCCCCTTTACAGATGGCGAGACACGGCGGGAGGGGAGAGCTCAGCCTAGACCCTGGGAAAGGTGGGGACCCCGGGAGCCCGGTAAAAGGCCTCTGGAACCTTAGCAGGAAACCCGGCCAGATCCAAGGCCTTCTGGGCCTCTGCATGTGGCAGGACAGCGCCTTCGGGGGTGGTGGCAGGATCTCCTGGCTGGAGATGGCAGGAGTTGGCAGGTTCCTGGAGAATGAACTTCAAGAAGCCTCATGGGGGATCCCTGGGGTGGCGCAGCAGTTTGGCGCCTGCCTTTGGCCCAGGGCGCGATCCTGGAGACCCAGGATCGAATCCCACATCGGGCTCCCGGTGCATGGAGCCTGCTTCTCCCTCTGCCTGAGTCTCTGCCTCTCTCTCTCTCTGTGACTATCATAAATAAATAAAAATTAAAAAAAAGAAGCCTCATGGCACCCAGCTGGCTACGAAAAGGCATGGAGATGTATTTGGCCAAATCTCACTATCAGAGAATGAACTTCTGAAATTCAATGAGAATTCTGAAATCTCTCTCCCGATGCAACTGTTGCTATAGCTTTGTCATCCACTCTGCCCTCCACCTTTCAGGGTCCGCCTGCTGGTACAGGAGCCGGGGCTCTGGTTGCCTACAGCCGGCTCCTTGGGTTCCCACACTGTCCTTGCCCGCTCTACCCCGGCGGGTGCATGACGCCTGATGCTTTTCGAGCAGCCCACCGGGTTTCAGAAGAAAAGTCTCCGTAGCCTGTTTTCCAGAAGGAACTTCGTAGCTAGGACTGACAGTTTGGTCAGATCTCAAAAAACACTTTACGTTTAGTTCCTTCGCAGTCCTTATGACCAAGATTCCTTTTAAAATTTTCAGCAATTGTCTCCCTAAAGCATTTTATAGAGTGTTGTTTGAAGGCTGTTTACTTGAGATCAAATGTATGTTAAGACCCTTATTTTTCCTCCAAGACTTGGTTCTTTCCTTCATGCATTCACATTCTTTCTCATTTCAAGATCAGAGATGATTTACCAAAGAAACAGTTGTAAACAGCTTTGGAGATCTAAGCCCCTGGAGGTTCTGCTTCGTTCCATCCTGGCAAAATGAGAGCCTTTCTGACATTTCTTGCACGTTTATATGCGGATGTATACGTACGCCCTGGAGGGTTTCTCATACTCTATGCTTATTCTGCAACTTGCTCTCATCACACAAGGAAGCGTGCCTGGGAGAGAGGCTTGAATTACAGCTCAGGGTGCTCCCACTTCCCCTCCTGAACGCGCATCTCGAGGTCAGGCAGGGTCTCACTCGGGGGAACAAAGCCGCGTGGACACAGCCAGGAGCATTGCTGGAGGACAACGCAGAGTCAGGTGGCGGCGCTGGATGGCTGCAGCCAGAGACCAGCAAGCATGCAGCCAGCGGCTCAGAGAAAGAAGCCTGGGGATTCTTACTCACGGAAGGGGCGCTGAGCAGTCCGGGTTGAAGGGCTAGCTCCGTGGCACACAGTCACTTGGGGGCCCCAGCTTTTTATCTTGTCTCTCCTCCCATTTGTGCCGCAAGACCAGTTGACACCACCTCCCTACACCCGTTTTGGACTAAGGCTTTTGCAGAATGCAATAAAGAGATCAGAGGGTGCTAGGCGGCTCAGTCGGTTGAGCAACCTACCCTTGATTTCGGCTCAGGTCATGATTTCAGGGTCATGGGATCGAGCCCCCTGGCAGGATCCCTGCTCAGCCCGGAGTCGGCTTCTCTCCCTCTCCCTCTGCTCTTCTCCCCACTGGCACATGCCTGCCCACAGTGCCCTCTCTCTCTCTCTCTCTCTCTCTCTCTCTCTCTCTCTAAAGTGAATAAGTAAATCTTTAAGATAATAGTGGCGATGTTGAATTGTTATGAAAGCGTCAC